GACTGACCACTGACTGACCACTGACTGACCGCAGACTGACCACTGACTGACCACTGACTGACCGCAGACTGACCACTGACTGACCACTGACCAGACCGCAGACTGACCACTGACTGACCACTGACTGACCACAGACTGACCACAGACTGACCACTGACCAGACCACTGACTGACCGCAGACTGACCACTGACTGACCGCAGACTGACCGCAGACTGACCACTGACTGACCACTGACTGACCGCAGACTGACCACTGACTGCAGAACTCCAACCGTGTGGTCATGTCCGGTCTGACCAGGTCCAGCGGTCACAACCTCTCCTCAACCTCAACCACACACGGTCACCACCACCACGGTCAGAGCGGTGAGGTCACCATGGACGGTTGTGGTCTTACTCCGGTCCTGGGCTACACGGCTGAGATGGAGCGCTACCGATCCTTCGCTAACTTCTACACTAAAACCAACGCGAATATGAACGCCGTTAACAGCATGAACTTCCCTCAGTCGACCAAGCTCGCCCACATCACCGCTCCTATATTCCCCGGTGGCAGGCTCGGGGTGGGCGTGGCTGGGGTGACGCCATGGGGTTGTCATGACAACATCAACATGAATATGAACGTCAACGCGCCGGCGATGCTTTGGGGGCGGAAACCTCCCGTGCATCAGGCCAAGCCCCTAGCGCCGCCCACAACACACCTGTCGCCCTCGACAACGCACATGCAGCCCTACCGGACCAGCGGTCAGGGTGGAGAGGGGAAGCAGCACGCCTCCTCCCATGGACAGGAAACTCATAATCACCACGGGAATACACATTTCCAGTCCTGCTATTCCGCCGCCAATCACATGACCAAACAAGGCCACGCCCACCAGGACATGCTCAGCCTATCGAATCGCAGCAGCAGTGGCAACGGAGGCGGAGTTAACGGGGTCAACGTGTCCAACTTCCCCGCCGGAATGTTTGGGTTACCGCCCGGGGTCATCGTCATGGCGATGGGGTCGCACAATAACATTTCGGACTCCTCCCACTTCCAGATGGCGACCAATCATAACCAACTGTTATCGGACGGCCACCATGCCAACCAGACAAACTCCTCCCCCTGCCCTTCGACCTCGCCGGGGATGACCTCTGGGGGTCAGGGGTCAGGAGCATCCAAGAGGAAGAGGAAGCGGTGTGGGGTGTGTGTCCCCCTGCAGAAGGCTGATTAACTGTGGGGTGTGTTCAGCCTGTAGGAACAGGAAGACAGGTCATCAGATCTGTAAGTTCAGGAAGTGTGACGAGCTGAAGAAGAAGGCTGGGAGTACACAACTAGAGGTAGGAGACAGACAGACAGACAGCACACACACAGTCTTTCGCAGCTAACCTTGTGGGGACATACAATTCAGTCCCATTCAAAATCCTATTTTCCCTAACCCTAAACCAAACCCGTACCCTAACCTTAATTCTAACCCTAACACTAATTCTAACTTTAACCCTAAGCCCCCTAGAAATAGCATTTGACCTTGTGGTCAAATTTTTCTTGGTTAACTACAGTGGGGGAAAAAAGTATTTAGTCAGCCACCAATTGTGCATGTTCTCCCACTTAAAAAGATGAGAGAGGCCTGTAATTTTCATCATAGGTACACGTCAACTATGACAGACAAAATGAGATTTTTTTTTCTCCAGAAAATCACATTGTAGGATTTTTTATGAATTTATTTGCAAATTATGGTGGAAAATAAGTATTTGGTCAATAACAAAAGTTTCTCAATACTTTGTTATATACCCTTTGTTGGCAATGACACAGGTCAAACGTTTTCTGTAAGTCTTCACAAGGTTTTCACACACTGTTGCTGGTATTTTGGCCCATTCCTCCATGCAGATCTCCTCTAGAGCAGAGATGTTTTGGGGCTGTCGCTGGGCAACACAGACTTTCAACTCCCTCCAAAGATTTTCTATGGGGTTGAGATCTGGAGACTGGCTAGGCCACTCCAGGACCTTGAAATGCTTCATACGAAGCCACTCCTTCGTTGCCCGGGCGGTGTGTTTGGGATCATTGTCATGCTGAAAGACCCAGCGACGTTTCATCTTCAATGCCCTTGCTGATGGAAGGAGGTTTTCACTCAAAATCTCACGATACATGGCCCCATTCATTCTTTCCTTTACACGGATCAGTCGTCCTGGTCCCTTTGCAGAAAAACAGCCCCAAAGCATGATGTTTCCACCCCCATGCTTCACAGTAGGTAATTGTGTTCTTTGGATGCAACTCAGCATTCTTTGTCCTCCAAACACGACGAGTTGAGTTTTTACCAAAAAGTTATATTTTGGTTTCATCTGACCATATGACATTCTCCCAATCCTCTTCTGGATCATCCAAATGCACTCTAGCAAACTTCAGACGGGCCTGGACATGTACTGGCTTAAGCAGGGGGACACGTCTGGCACTGCAGGATTTGAGTCCCTGGCGGCGTAGTGTGTTACTGATGGTAGGCTTTGTTACTTTGGTCCCAGCTCTCTGCAGGTCATTCACTAGGTCCCCCCGTGTGGTTCTGGGATTTTTGCTCACCGTTCTTGTGATCATTTTGACCCCACGGGGTGAGATCTTGCGTGGAGCCCCAGATCGAGGGAGATTATCAGTGGTCTTGTATGTCTTCCATTTTCTAATAATTGCTCCCACAGTTGATTTCTTCAAACCAAGCTGCTTACCTATTGCAGATTCAGTCTTCCCAGCCTGGTGCAGGTCTACAATTTTGTTTCTGGTGTCCTTTGACAGCTCTTTGGTCTTGGCCATAGTGGAGTTTGGAGTGTGACTGTTTGAGGTTGTGGACAGGTGTCTTTTATACTGATAACAAGTTCAAACAGGTGCCATTAATACAGGTAATGAGTGGAGGACAGAGGAGCCTCTTAAAGAAGAAGTTACAGGTCTGTGAGAGCCAGAAATCTTGCTTGTTTGTAGGTGACCAAATACTTATTTTCCACCATTATTTGCAAATAAATTCATAAAAAATCCTACAATGTGATTTTCTGGATTTTTTTTTCTCAATTTGTCTGTCATAGTTGACGTGTACCTATGATGAAAATTACAGGCCTCTCTCATCTTTTTAAGTGGGAGAACTTGCACAATTGGTGGCTGACTAAATACTTTTTTCCCCCACTGTATACTTGTGGGGACTTCTGGTCCCAGGGATACTGGGACTTCTGGTCCCCACAAGTATAGTTAAACACGTCCACACACACACAGATTCTAAGTTCAGATTCTCTACGCTTCTCCTGAAGTCTGCAGTCGTACACTCCCTCTCATGGATTCAAAAGGAATGGACTGGTGTGAGGAATATGGTGGAAACTCCCTCCAGCTGTTCTTGCACCAATCCAATGCATGAGGGGTTAGTGAACGAGTGCACACTTCAGGATAGGGGTAGAGAATCAGAACACACACTCTATTCCACCCCTAGCCCCTAGCCCCTAGCACGTAGGCCAGGGGTGTCAAACTCAGTTTGACCCGGGAGACGGATTGGGTCTCAACGAGGTCCGGACGGCCGCACTGATAATGTCTTACATTTCCCTACCGTCAGAATTAGCAAAAGATAGTTTTAGGAATTTTGGATACTATTGGTCAGCCAAATGGCCGCGGTCACGTCAACATGATCTCCTCCGCTCCTGACTGCAGGGAGGGGGGGTGTTGCCTAGGCAACTGAAGACTCATTTGCCACAACACCTTGCACGTTGTAGATTCCATGTTACTGTAGAGTCCATGTTACTGTAGATTCCATGTTACTGTAGAGTCCATGTTACTGTAGGTCCATGGTAGAGTCCATGGTTACTGTAGAGTCCATGTTACTGTAGAGTCCATGTTACTGTAGAGTCCATGTTACTGTAGATTCCCATGTTACTGTAGAGTCCATGTTACTGTAGAGTCCATGTTACTGTAGATTCCATGTTACTGTAGAGTCCATGTTACTGTAGAGTCCATGTTACTGTAGAGTCCAGGTTACTGTAGGTCCTGTTATTAGATTCCATGTTACTGGTAGAGTCCATGTTACTGTAGAGTCCATGTTACTGTAGATTCCATGTTACTGTAGAGTCCATGTTACTGTAGATTCCATGTTACTGTAGAGTCCATGTTACTGTAGAGTCCATGTTACTGTAGATTCCATGTTACTGTAGAGTCCATGTTACTGTAGAGTCCATGTTACTGTAGAGTCCATGTTACTGTAGATTCCATGTTACTGTAGATTCCATGTTACTGTAGAGTCCATGTTACTGTAGATTCCATGTTACTGTAGAAAAGGACTCATGAATGCCCGGCCGTCCCATCTTCAGTTAGCTGTTGATTCCACACACACAAAAAAGTTCGTTTTAACGGTTATGGCGGTTATTTTATTTTGAGGACGGTCTTCATCCATACACGTTGGGCTTTATGTTGGAGATCCCTGACCTGTGTATATTTGAGAGGATTGGATAGGTATAGATTAGTTTAAACTCTGTCACACCTCTCTGTAACATAATCAGTCAGTATTCTACCAGTCCAGTCTCTATTCCCTCTGGTCAGTATTCTACCAGTCCAGTCTCTATTCCACTGGTCAGTATTCTAACAGTCCAGTCTCTATTCCCACTGGTCAGTATTCTACCAGTCCAGTCTCTATTCCCACTGGTCATATTCTACAAGTCCAGTCTCTATTCCCACTGGTCAGTATTTACCAGTCCAGTCTCTATTCCCACTGGTCAGTATTTCTACCAGTCCAGTTTCTTATTCCCACTGGTCAGTATTCTACCAGTCCAGTTCTATTCCCACTGGTCAGTATTTCTACCCGTCCAGTCTCTATTCCCTCTGGTCAGTATTCTACCAGTCCAGTCTCTATTCCCACTGGTCAGTATCTACCAGTCCAGTCTCTATTCCCACTGGTCAGTATTCTACCAGTCCAGTCTCTATTCCCACTGGTCAGTATTTACCAGTCCAGTCTCTATCCCACTGGTCAGTATTCTACCAGTCCAGTCTCTATATCCACTGGTCAGTATTCTAACAGTCCAGTCTCTATTCCCACTGGTCAGTATTCTACCAGTCCAGTCTCTATTCCCACTGGTCAGTATTCTACCAGTCCAGTCTCTATTCCCACTGGTCAGTATTCTACCAGTCCAGTCTCTATTCCCACTGGTCAGTATTCTACCAGTCCAGTCTCTATATCCACTGGTCAGTATTCTACCAGTCCAGTCTCTATTCCCACTGGTCAGTATTCTACCAGTCCAGTCTCTATATCCACTGGTCAGTATTCTACCAGTCCAGTCTCTATTCCCATGGTCAGTATTCTACCAGTCCAGTCTCTATTCCCACTGGTCAGTATTCTACCAGTCCAGTCTCTATCCTATGGTCAGTATTCTACAGTCCAGTCTCTATTCCCACTGGTCAGTATTCTACCAGTCCAGTCTCTATTCCCACTGGTCAGTATTCTACCAGTATGTTTCCAGTCTCTATTCCCACTGGTCAGTATTCTACCAGTCCAGTCTCTATATCCACTGGTCAGTATTCTACCAGTCCAGTCTCTATATCCACTGGTCAGTATTCTACCAGTCCAGTCTCTATTCCCACTGGTCAGTATTCTACCAGTCCAGTCTCTATTCCCACTGGTCAGTATTCTACCAGTCCAGTCTCTATTCCACTGGTCAGTATTCTACCAGTCCAGTCTCTATTCCCACTGGTCAGTATTCTACCAGTCCAGTCTCTATATCCACTGGTCAGTATTCTACCAGTCCAGTCTCTATTCCCACTGGTCAGTATTCTACCAGTCCAGTCTCTATATCCACTGGTCAGTATTCTACCAGTCCAGTCTCTATTCCCACTGGTCAGTATTCTACCAGTCCAGTCTCTATATCCCACTGGTCAGTATTCTAACAGTCCAGTCTCTATTCCACTGGTCAGTATTCTACCAGTCCAGTCTCTATTCCCACTGGTCAGTATTCTACCAGTCCAGTCTCTATTCCCACTGGTCAGTATTCTACCAGTCCAGTCTCTATTCCCACTGGTCAGTATTCTACCAGTCCAGTCTCTATTCCCACTGGTCAGTATTCTACCAGTCCAGTCTCTATTCCCACTGGTCAGTATTCTACCAGTCCAGTCTCTATATCCACTGGTCAGTATTCTAACAGTCCAGTCTCTATATCCACTGGTCAGTATTCTAACAGTCCAGTCTCTATATCCCACTGGTCAGTATTCTAACAGTCCAGTCTCTATTCCCACTGGTCAGTATTCTAACCAGTCCAGTCTCTATATCCACTGGTCAGTATTCTACCAGTCCAGTCTCTATATCCACTGGTCAGTATTCTACCAGTCCAGTCTCTATTCCCACTGGTCAGTATTCTACCAGTCCAGTCTCTATATCCACTGGTCAGTATTCTACCAGTCCAGTCTCTATTCCCACTGGTCAGTATTCTACCAGTCCAGTCTCTATTCCCACTGGTCAGTATTCTACCAGTCCAGTCTCTATTCCCACTGGTCAGTATTCTACCAGTTCCCACTGGTCAGTATTCTACCAGTCCAGTCTCTATTCCTATTGGTCAGTATTCTAACAGTCCAGTCTCTATTCCCACTGGTCAGTATTCTACCAGTATGTTTCCAGTCTCTATTCCCACTGGTCAGTATTCTACCAGTCCAGTCTCTATATCCACTGGTCAGTATTCTACCAGTCCAGTCTCTATATCCACTGGTCAGTATTCTACCAGTCCAGTCTCTATTCCCACTGGTCAGTATTCTACCAGTCCAGTCTCTATTCCCACTGGTCAGTATTCTACCAGTCCAGTCTCTATATCCACTGGTCAGTATTCTAACAGTCCAGTCTCTATTCCCACTGGTCAGTATTCTACCAGTCCAGTCTCTATTCCCACTGGTCAGTATTCTACCAGTCCAGTCTCTATATCCACTGGTCAGTATTCTACCAGTCCAGTCTCTATTCCCTCTGGTCAGTATTCTAACAGTCCAGTCTCTATTCCCACTGGTCAGTATTCTACCAGTCCAGTCTCTATATCCACTGGTCAGTATTCTACGAGTCCAGTCTCTATATCCACTGGTCAGTATTCTACCAGTCCAGTCTCTATTCCCACTGGTCAGTATTCTACCAGTCCAGTCTCTATTCCCTCTGGTCAGTATTCTACCAGTCCAGTCTCTATTCCCACTGGTCAGTATTCTACCAGTCCAGTCTCTATATCCACTGGTCAGTATTCTACCAGTCCAGTCTCTATATCCACTGGTCAGTATTCTACCAGTCCAGTCTCTATTCCCACTGGTCAGTATTCTACCAGTCCAGTCTCTATTCCCACTGGTCAGTATTCTACCAGTCCAGTCTCTATTCCCACTGGTCAGTATTCTACCAGTCCAGTCTCTATATCCACTGGTCAGTATTCTAACAGTCCAGTCTCTATTCCCACTGGTCAGTATTCTAACAGTCCAGTCTCTATATCCACTGGTCAGTATTCTACCAGTCCAGTCTCTATTCCCACTGGTCAGTATTCTACCAGTCCAGTCTCTATATCCACTGGTCAGTATTCTACCAGTCCAGTCTCTATTCCCCTGGTCAGTATTCTACCAGTCCCAGTCTCTATTCCCTTGGTCAGTATTCTAACCAGTCCAGTCTCATTCCCACTGGTCAGTATTCTACCAGTCCAGTCCTCTATATCCACTGGTCAGTATTCTACCAGTCCAGTCTCTATATCCACTGGTCAGTATTCTACCAGTCCAGTCTCTATTCCCACTGGTCAGTATTCTACCAGTCCAGTCTCTATATCCACTGGTCAGTATTCTACCAGTCCAGTCTTATTCCCACTGGTCAGTATTCTACCAGTCCAGTCTCTATTCCCACTGGTCAGTATTCTACAGTCCAGTCTCTATTCCATTGGTCAGTATTCTACCAGTCCAGTCTCTATTCCCACTGGTCAGTATTCTACCAGTATGTTTCCAGTCTCTATTCCCACTGGTCAGTATTCTACCAGTCCAGTCTCTATATCCACTGGTCAGTATTCTACCAGTCAGTCTCTATTCCACTGGTCAGTATTCTACCAGTCCAGTCTCTTTCCCACTGGTCAGTATTCTACCAGTCCAGTCTCTATTCCCACTGGTCAGTATTCTACCAGTCCAGGTCTCTATATCCACTGGTCAGTATTCTACCAGTCCAGTCTCTATTCCCACTGGTCAGTATTCTACCAGTCCAGTCTCTATTCCATGGTAAGTATTCTACCAGTCCAGTCTCTATTCCCACTGGTCCAGTATTCTACCAGTCCCAGTCTCTCATATCCACTGGTCAGTATTCTACCAGTCCAGTCTCTATTCCCACTGGTCAGTATTCTACCAGTCCAGTCTCTATTCCCACTGGTCAGTATTCTACCAGTCCAGTCTCTATTCCCACTGGTCAGTATTCTACCAGTCCAGTCTCTATATCCACTGGTCAGTATTCTACCAGTCCAGTCTCTATTCCCAACTGGTCAGTATTCTACCAGTCCAGTCTCTATTCCCATGGTCAGTATTCTACCAGTCCAGTCTCTATATCCACTGGTCAGTATTCTACCAGTCCAGTCTCTATTCCCACTGGTCAGTATTCTACCAGTCCAGTCTCTATTCCCACTGGTCAGTATTCTACCAGTCCAGTCTCTATATCCACTGGTCAGTATTCTACCAGTCCAGTCTCTATTCCCACTGGTCAGTATTCTACCAGTCCAGTCTCTATATCCACTGGTCAGTATTCTAACAGTCCAGTCTCTATTCCCACTGGTCAGTATTCTAACCAGTCCAGTCTCTATATCCCACTGGTCAGTATTCTACCAGTCCAGTCTCTATTCCCACTGGTCAGTATTCTACCAGTCCAGTCTCTATATCCACTGGTCAGTATTCTACCAGTCCAGTCTCTATATCCACTGGTCAGTATTCTACCAGTCCAGTCTCTATATCCACTGGTCAGTATTCTACCAGTCCAGTCTCTATTCCCACTGGTCAGTATTCTACCAGTCCAGTCTCTATATCCACTGGTCAGTATTCTACCAGTCCAGTCTCTATTCCCACTGGTCAGTATTCTACCAGTCCAGTCTCTATTCCCACTGGTCAGTATTCTACCAGTCCAGTCTCTATATCCACTGGTCAGTATTCTACCAGTCCAGTCTCTATATCCACTGGTCAGTATTCTACCAGTCCAGTCTCTATATCCTCTGGTCAGTATTCTACCAGTCCAGTCTCTATTCCCACTGGTCAGTATTCTACCAGTCCAGTCTCTATTCCCACTGGTCAGTATTCTACCAGTCCAGTCTCTATATCCACTGGTCAGTATTCTACCAGTCCAGTCTCTATTCCCACTGGTCAGTATTCTACCAGTCCAGTCTCTATTCCCACTGGTCAGTATTCTACCAGTCCAGTCTCTATTCCCATCTGGTCAGTATTCTAACAGTCCAGTCTCTATATCCACTGGTCAGTATTCTACCAGTCTAGTCTCTATTCCCACTGGTCAGTATTCTACCAGTCCAGTCTCTATATCCACTGGTCAGTATTCTACCAGTCCAGTCTCTATTCCCACTGGTCAGTATTCTAACAGTCCAGTTTCTATTCCCACTGGTCAGTATTCTACCAGTCCAGTCTCTATATCCACTGGTCAGTATTCTACCAGTCCAGTCTCTATTCCCACTGGTCAGTATTCTAACAGTCCAGTTTCTATTCCCACTGGTCAGTATTCTAACAGTCCAGTCTCTATTCCCTCTGGTCAGTATTCTACCAGTCCAGTCTCTATTCCCACTGGTCAGTATTCTACCAGTCCAGTCTCTATTCCCACTGGTCAGTATTCTAACCAGTCCAGTCTCTATCCCACTGGTCAGTATTCTACCAGTCCAGTCTCTATATCCACTGGTCAGTATTCTACCAGTCCAGTCTCTATTCCCACTGGTCAGTATTCTACCAGTCCAGTCTCTATTCCCACTGGTCAGTATTCTACCAGTCCAGTCTCTATATCCACTGGTCAGTATTCTACCAGTCCAGTCTCTATTCCCTCTGGTCAGTATTCTACCAGTCCAGTCTCTATATCCCACTGGTCAGTATTCTACCAGTCCATTCCCTCTGGTTTTACCAGTCCAGTTATTTCCCACTGGTCAGTATTCTACCAGTCCAGTCTCTATTCCCACTGGTCAGTATTCTACCAGTCCAGTCCTATTCCCACTGGTCAGTATTCATACCAGTCCAGTCTCTATATCCACTGGTCAGTATTCTACCAGTCCAGTCTCTATTCCACTGGTCAGTATTCTACCAGTCCAGTCTCTATCCCACTGGTCAGTATTCTACCAGTTCCAGTCTCTATCCCCACTGGTCAGTATTCTACCAGTCCAGTCTCTATTCCCACTGGTCAGTATTCTACAGTCCAGTCTCTATTCCCATGGTCAGTATTCTACAGTCAGTCTCTATATCCACTGGTCAGTATTCTACCAGTCCAGTCTCTATATCCACTGGTCAGTATTCTACCAGTCCAGTCTCTATTCCCACTGGTCAGTATTCTACCAGTCCCAGTCTCTATATCACTGGTCAGTATTCTACCAGTCCAGTCTCTATATCCACTGGTCAGTATTCTACCAGTCCAGTCTTTATTCCCACTGGTCAGTATTCTACCAGTCCAGTCTCTATATCCACTGGTCAGTATTCTACCAGTCCAGTCTCTATTGGTCAGTATTCTACCAGTCCAGTCTCTATATCCACTGGTCAGTATTCTACCAGTCCAGTCTCTATTCCCACTGGTCAGTATTCTACCAGTCCAGTCTCTATATCCACTGGTCAGTATTCTACCAGTCCAGTCTCTATTCCCACTGGTCAGTATTCTAACAGTGTGTTTCCAGTCTCTATATCCACTGGTCAGTATTCTAACAGTATGTTTCCTTCTCAGAGACCTCCCTCGGTGCCCTGTGGAGAAGCTTTCGGATGGATCTACTAGATGTCAGACCACAACTGAATCTCAACAAGACCACATTAGCCCTTCTTCTCTTCTTCTCCTCTTCACAGACAGAGACAGGGCACTTAAACCTCCAAATCCGTACCTAGCTTGGAGACATTACAGTCAGTGCCAGTGATCCAACCACAGTTTAAGAGTGTGATCCAACCACGGTTTAAGAGTGTGATCCAACCACGGTTTAAGAGTGTGATCCAACCACGGTTTAAGAGTGTGATCCAACCACGGTTTAAGAGTGTGGTCCAACCACGGTTTAAGAGTGTGGTCCAACCACGGTTTAAGAGTGTGATCCAACCACGGTTTAAGAGTGTGATCCAACCACGGTTTAAGAGTGTGATCCAACCACGGTTTAAGAGTGTGATCCAACCACGGTTTAAGAGTGTGATCCAACCACGGTTTAAGAGTGTGGTCCAACCACGGTTTAAGAGTGTGGTCCAACCACGGTTTAAGAGTGTGGTCCAACCACGGTTTAAGAGTGTGATCCAACCACGGTTTAAGAGTGTGGTCCAACCACGGTTTAAGAGTGTGGTCCAACCACGGTTTAAGAGTGTTATCCAACCACGGTTTAAGAGTGTGGTCCAACCATCGTTTACAGTGCATTGGGAAAGTATTCAGACCCCTTGACTTTTTCCACATTTTGTTACATTACAGCCTTATTCTAAAATTGATTAAATAAAATAAAATCCTCATCAATCTACACACAATACTCCATAATGACAAAGCGAAAACAGGTGTTTAGACATTTTTGCAAATTGATCAAAAATTAAAAAAACTGAAATACCTTATTTACATAAGTATTCAGACCCTTTGCTATGAGACTCGAAATTGAGCTCAGGTGCATCCTGTTTCCATTGATCATCCTTGAGATGTTTCTACAACTTGATTGGAGTCCACCTGTGGTCAATTCAATTGATTGGACACAATTTGGAAAGGCACACACCTGTCTATATAAGGTCCCATAGTTGACAGTGCATGTCAGAGCAAAAACCAAGCCATGAGGTCAAATTAATTTTCTGTAGAGCTCCCAGACAGGATTACCTGCAGCATTCTTAAATGGAAGAAGTTTGGAACCACCAAGACTCTTCCTAAAGCTGGCCGCCCGGCCAAACTGAGCAATCGGGGAGAAGGGCCTTGGTCAGGGAGGTGACCAAGAACCCGATGGTCACTCTGACAGAGCTCCAGAGTTCCTCTGTGGAGATGGGAGAACCTTCCAGAAGGACAACCATCTCTGCAGCACTCCACCAATCAGGCCTTTATGGTAGAGTGGGCTACTACTACTACACTACTACACTACTATACTACAGTGGACTACACTACTACTACTACTACTAATACTATACTACTACTACTAGACTACAGTGGAGAATACTATCTACTACTACTACTGTTCTACATTGGACTACACTACTATACTACATTGGATTACAGTGGACTACAGTACTGCAACTATACTACAGTGAACTGCACTACTAAACTGCTATACTACAGTGGACTACACTACTAATACTACTACTACTACTACTACCACCACTACTACTACTACTGCTACTACTACTACAGTGGACTACACTACTACTACTACACTACTACTACTACTACTACTACTACTACTACTGCTACTACTACCACTACCACTACTACTACTGCTACTACTACTACTACTACTACTACTACCACTACCACTACTACTACTGCTACTACTGCTGCTACTACTACTACTAATACTACACTACAGTGGACTACACTACTAATACTACTACTACTACTACTACTACTACAGTGGACTACACCAATACTACTACTACTACTACTACTACTACTACAGTGGACTACACTACTACTACTACTAGTACTACTAATACTACCAGAACTTCTCCCTCTGTGAAACGATGGATCTTTATTGCCTCACCTCTCTCCAACCCCAGACCCTTCCTCAACTCTGGACTGACAGACCTAAACCAGGTCTAAAACCGTTGGACCATCATTTAACTCAACCTTGGATTATAACAAGGTTTATTTTTGGAACTCTAAAGAGAAGCGTTGATGGACCACAACTAACTAACTAACTAACTGGCAAAGGAACAGAACTTTAGAACTCAAGAAGGTTCCGCTCATTTCCTCATGTTCCAAGAGAATCATCACATGATATTCCAGAAACATCTGGCTGCTTCCCAAACAGCACCCTATTCCCTATATAGTGCACTACTTATTAATTGTGCAATTAGTGCATTACTTTGAAAGTAGTACACTATATAAGGAATAATAGGGTGCCATTTGGGACCCTTTTCATTGATTAAGCCCCTCTTCTCTAAATTGTCTGTCACATGATAATAACATGTTTTGGTTTTTGAAAGGTTGTATATTGACGTTGGGATTCCTCCATGTGACGAGTAATAAAAAGGTTTGAAATAATCTATGTGTGGTGTGGGTGGTGTGTGGGTGGTGTGGGTGGTGTGTGGGTGGTGTGTGTGGTGTGTGGGTGGTGTGTGGGTGGTGTGTGTGTGGTGTGTGGGTGTGTGGGTGGTGTGTGTGTGTGGGTGGTGTGTGTGTGTGTGGGTGGTGTGTGTGTGTGGGTGGGTGGTGTGTGTGTGTGTGTGTGGGTGATGTGTGGGGTGAATATGTAGAGAAGTACTGTTATAACACAAAATGGGCCTGGATAGGTATTTTACATATCAGCATGTTATAGCAATCTGTCAGTCGATGACATGGCACGTGTAACGCCTACTCCTGCTCCCTCCCTCCGGCGCTCGACGTCGCCAGTCTACTAACCACTGGTCCTGGCAACCCACATTGTGCACACCTGGCAACCATCATTGTGCACACCTGCTCCCCATCGTTAAGCACACCTGGACTTCATCACCACCCTGATTACTCTCCCTTCATACAGCCCTCAGTCGCCTCTGTCATCAGGCAGTACTGGTTTTGTAAAGGCCTCCCAAGGGGCGCAGCGGTCCAAGGCCCTGCATCGCAGCGCTCGAGGCCTCACAGCGGTCCAAGGCCCTGCATCGCAGCGCTCGAGGCCTCACAGCGGTCTAAGGCCCTGCATCGCAGCGCTTGAGGCCTCACAGCGGTCTAAGGCCCTGCATCGCAGCGCTCGAGGCCTCACAGCGGTCCAAGGCCCTGCATCGCAGCGCTCGAGGCCTCACAGCGGTCTAAGGCCCTGCATCGCAGCGCTCGAGGCCTCACAGCGGTCTAAGGCCCTGCATCGCAGCGCTCGAGGCTCACAGCGGTCTAAGGCCCTGCATCGCAGCGCTCGAGGCCTCACAGCGGTCTAAGGCCCTGCATCGCAGCGCTCGAGGCCTCACAGCGGTCCAAGGCCTGCATCGCAGCGCTCGAGGCCTCACAGCGGTCCAAGGCCCTGCATCGCAGCGCTCGAGGCCTCACAGCGGTCCAAGGCCCTGCATCGCAGCGCTCGAGGCCTCACAGCGGTCTAAGGCCCTGCATCGCAGCGCTTGAGGCCTCACAGCGGTCTAAGGCCCTGCATCGCAGCGCTCGAGGCCTCACAGCGGTCCAAGGCCCTGCATCGCAGCGCTCGAGGCCTCACAGCGGTCTAAGGCCCTGCATCGCAGCGCTCGAGGCCTCACAGCGGTCTAAGGCCCTGCATCGCAGCGCTCGAGGCCTCACAGCGGTCTAAGGCCCTGCATCGCAGCGCTCGAGGCCTCACAGCGGTCTAAGGCCCCTGCATCGCAGCGCTCGAGGCCTCACAGCGGTTCTAAGGCCCTGCATCGCAGCGCTCGAGGCCTCACAGCGGTCCAAGGCCCTGCATCGCAGCGCTCGAGGCCTCACAGCGGTCTAAGGCCCTGCATCGCAGCGCTCGAGGCCTCACAGCGGTCTAAGGCCCTGCATCGCAGCGCTTGAGGCGTCACTACAGACCTGGTTTCCATTCCAGGCTGTATCACAACCGGCCGTGATCGGGAGTTCCATAGGGCGGCGCACAATTGGCCCAGCGTCGTCTGGGTTAGGGGAGGGTTTGGTAGGGGGGGCTTTACTTGGCTCATGGCGCTCTAGCGACTCCTTGTGGCGGGCCGGGCGCCTGCAGGCTGACCTCGGTCGTCAGGTGAACGGTGAGAGCAAAAGTCTCCTCAGAGGTAGCTGTGAAAATAAAACAGAACTCTACTGATCTAGTGCAACATGTTTTCTTTATCCAAGGACTCTAAATTGCCATTTTACCTGGTACCTAGTTGGGTTAATAACCATACCTCCCGAGTGGCGCAGTGGTCTAAGGCACTGCATCGCAGTGCTAGCTGTGCCACTAGAGATCCTGGTTCGAATCCAGGCTCTGTCGTAGCCGGCCGCGACCGGGAGACTCATGGGGCGGCGCACAATTGGCCCAGGGTAGGGGAGGGAATGGCCGGCAGGGGATGTAGCTCAGTTGGTAGAGCATGGTGTTTGCAACGCCAGGGTTGTGGGTTCGATAAAATAATGTATGTGCTAACTGTAAGTCGCTCTGGATAAGAGCGTCTGCTAAATGACTAAAATGTAAATGTAAATGTTTTGGGCCAGACATGGACAACCCCATGTGGGCTACAACATTGGTCCCTATGGCTGCGTTTACACAAGCAGCCCAATTCTGATAATTGTTTCCACTAATTGGTCTTTTGACCAATCAGATCAGCTCTTTTGACAATAATTGGGCAAAAGATCAAAATTGGGCTTCCTGTGTAAACGCAGCCAAATGGACTCTTTACCATAAAAAATAAAAAAAGGGCTGTAGTTGACATACAGTAACCTTATTCGCTTATGATTATATAAACACTATTTATTTCATTTTAAAGACTGTTTTGGACCA